CTTGTGCGTCGTCTTGCCTCCCTCGATGCCGACTCTGGTAAGAACGTCAGCCATGTGCTTGTCACGTTAGGTTGATTCCACTCCATGTTCGCGCGTTGTCCGTGACTGCTTGCTGAGGGTATACACGTTAACATATAACCCCTTCCCTCATTCCTCACTTATTCACTTCTTACATGACGAAAAAGACCCAGCGATATGGCACTTACAAACCACTCTCCCTGGCCACCAAACTGCTGGGCCGTTCATTGGTCCAGCGACGAACTGCTCCCCATGTGTGGCTTCCAATTACAGCGCGCAGCGGTGCAATTGGAAGCAACAACCGACCATGAATAATACGCATGTCCCAGTTACAATGGTCACGAAATAAGCAAGGAAGTATGGAGATCGGGAAGGAAAGCAATGCCGTGCCAACTTACCGATTGTAAGGGTTTCCTATTCCTAGAAGTTCATTATGCAATACTGACATTGTGCTCCTGTGTATCCCTAAATAGAAGCTACGTGATGTACGTGAAACGGAACTTACCCGCAGCAGCGCGCACATGTGTATGCTGCCTCCCTACTGGTATGCTGCGCAATTTTCATGAAACCATCTACAGCAAACATCGCAACTTATCCAATCGACTTGCTCCGAGCTCCCGCAGGCGTCCATTTCTTCCGCACACAAAGCACAGACGGCGCTGTCCGCTTCTTCGGCAGCAGTGCCTCGCTTTGGACGCCATGTGTATGTGCGGTGACGCGCGGATGTCCTCATTTTCAGGGTAGGAAATTTCAAATCCCGTGACATCATGGTGCAATCCAGCACCTCTACCGCAGGTGGTAACAAAAGTGACGTCCATTTCCGCATCGCACCCGTGCCACCGTCAACGTTCCTTCCCTGTCCTCCTAAAGGACTGGCGCAGATGTACTTACCGCTGGCAACACCCAATGGCAACCACGAAGCACATCCTCCTCCTCGTGCGCGTGTAGGCTCTCCAAGTGAATAATGTGCGACATGGAATGCGCCACTGCCGGTTAAATATGCATCCGCATGCGCTGCCATTTCCGATGACGACACGTTGCATCCCAATGTGCCCGTCGTCCACCAGCCAATACCCGCAGCCTTGGTTAACACTGCGAATGCGAACTCGAACACTTTGCCGCGCGTACTGCCGCCAAACGTAGGACGACATCCTGCACAAAACCACGTCCCCACTGCTGACCCCGTGCTCAACCTTGGAAACACGAAGCTGATCTCTGGCAAGCACTGTTCCTCTCCTCCATGATGTGACTAGCACGCTGCACTATCACCTGAAACAGGTGAAGTAGGGTTGACCGCTTGCTCAAAGTTTCTTTCATATGCTTATTCTCATTTTCAACGCGATTCGTGCTGACACATCGGAATACAACCACGTGGCCCATCAAATGCGCTGCCCAGCTAAGCCACCATGGGACCCCTGTCCGACGGAGTTATTGGAAGCATTCAGCGTGCGCAGGAATATGCCTTCCATAATCCGATGGTAATGCGCGCAATCGTACGTGTACAACAACCACCGCAGCATGTTAAACAGAGCCCTCTTATCTTCCGAGTTACACAACGGAAGGTGTGAGCAATGCCGCCGCATGTCCCGCATAATGTGTACCCGGCAGAATACGATGTTCGCATTGAAGTACGCATTCCGAAACGCATTCACTTGCGCCGTGCACTTGTCCATCGCCAAAGTCCGAGCACCGGCAACCGCGGGAGCCAATTCCAACATGCCTCTTACTGCCTCTTCATAAGCAACCTCCGTCTCATTTGGCAACAGCGCATAACAGAATCTCCTACCCAGGCCGCTAACATCCACAAACATGCAGTGCCATAGGATGAAACCGCCGTACTTGATCTGATATGTGGAGCCCGCCAAAATTACCTCCCCGTATTGGCCCACCAAATCTAGCATGCGCAAAGGGACGAAAAACAGGTACCGAATCTCATTCCACTCATGCATAATGTTCACCTGACCAATTCTTTGCAACAGCTGTGTTACCTCCTCCACCTTGGTGACACAAGCATAACGATGACGCCGCCGTATGACATACAAATCCCTCCTTGTTAAACGAATGTTATATTGCTGCCGCACAAATGCACGCATCTCCTGGGTCCGACGAACGCTTCTCATTAAGTTCAGCACCAGCCGTTCCTTATCTCCTGTTAGCCTCCGATTTCTCACATACAGCCAGGGCTTCCCAACGTGAAAGCTGTGCGATGGCCACAGAAACGCATTCCCAATCTCGTAACATTCACCCTTAAACGTCACAGAGAAACGCGCAGGGCAGTTGCAACAGCGGTGCCCATAGTAATCTTCTCAGCAGGCAAAGACCATGCACTTACCGCTTTCCAGTAACATTGCTGCTCTTTCCATGTACACATGCAAACAAAATATACCGGTATGGGCATCCTTCCGGTAGCACCTGTCCGGTCTCCTTCTGGTACGCCTTCGCGGTTACAACGTTCCGACAAACAAACGATGTTACCGTTTCAATCTGAAACAATTTCAGATCCTTCACCGATGCAAAGTCCAGATGAGGACCCTTAAACATACGTCGGAATACAAGCGATTCATCCAACATCGCTGATTGTAGCAGTCTGGAGATTCCCCGGTTTGCCTGTGTAAAATTCTAACCAAAATTCTATAATTGTACACCTAGGCAACCGGTGTGGTTTGTTGAACTGCTTGCTGAGTTCGAATGCTTTACTTGCTCATCGCCATTTTTGCTTGGCGCTCGTTTCGGTTGCAACGCGCAACTGCCCTGTCAAAGGACCTGCTCTTGTGGATGATTTACACCAGTTGCTAATTGAACTTTGGGAGCAGGAAACTGTCCCGACAGACTGGAGGCGCTCCGTCATAGTCCCAATTTTCAAGGGAGGTTCCTGTTCGGAATACGGTAACCATAAAGGGATCAGTCTGAACTCCACTACATCTAAATTGCTTGCTACTGTCGTTCGCCACAGACTGACTGATCCGTGAAGAGCAAGCTGCGTTTCGTCAAAATCAAAGCTACATCGACCACATCTTCACTTTGCGTCAATTGTTCGAGCACCACCATGTTTATTGACGACCAACCATAGTCGTGTTTCTCGACATCAAAGGTGTCTTCGACTAGGTGAATCGATATGCGCTTTGAGAATGTCTGCTCAGGAAAGGTGTGCCTGATAAATAGGTAAACATTATCAACGCGCTGTACTCGTATAGTTCGGGCAGAGCGAGGGTTTATAACAAACTGTCGCCGCATTTCAATATCTCCAGCGGTGTGAGACAAGGTTACTCGCTGTCCCCTTTCCTCTTTAACTTCGCAATTGATGAAATCATAGAAACAGCGTTCGCTGGACACGACCTAGAAGGTGTAGAGCTACTTCCTGGTGAGCGACTTCTTGACTTGGAGCGTGCGGACGATATTGCCCTAATCTGTGACAGTGCCCAAACGTGCCAGACTGACACGGACCGATTAGCAACGGCTAATAATCGATTTGTGCTATGCTTTGCTCCATCGAAATACAAAGTTTCTCTCCAAGATTGGCAGGGACCCACCCCTGCGCTGACTCTTGGTGGTTATCAGCTAGAAGTCGTTCAGGAATTCAAGTACCTGGGCAACTATATTAGAGCCCGTGGGGTCGAATATGAGGTTAAGAACCATATAGCGAAAGCTCGAGGTGCTTGTGCCAATTTCCGCCACCTGTGGCAGAGACGAGACATCACTCTTACTCTGAAGAGCAGAGTTCATAATGCAGCCGCCCGTTCAACCCTCTTATACGATTGTGAAACCTTGCCCATTAGATCGACAGACATAAAGAGGCTAGCTACGTTGGGTCATCGCTGACTCCGAAGCTTAGCTTATGTCTGGTGGGAGCACCGCGTGAGCAATGAGCGGGTTCGGCGTCGCACATTTGGTGCAGGAAGAGCGAGTGAACCGCTCAGCACCATTATATCACGCACCACGCTCCGATGGCTGGGCCAAATGTTGTGCGTGCCAGCACTCCGACTTCCGCGACGTGCATTTTTTGCGCGTCGGGGGTGCGGTTGGTAGAGGGAGAGGAGGCCAAGCGATGACTTGGTCGAGAGAAATGAAAACCCTCACTTCGAAGTTGGCGTCGGTTGGTGCATCCCGAATGCCTGGATGGGGTCCTAAGGACGATGAACAAGTTTGGTTGAACACGCTGATATGGCTAGGAGCCGGCCCCAATGGTGTTTGTGTTGTAAGTTCCTTCGTCCAACCCCTGCTGCTTAGCCTCCCCCCTCTCGAATCACGGTATCATTCGTGAGGCATAATATAACTCTTTTTGCGGCACGATAGCCGGCTGTTAGCTCCCTGGAACGACGTCCATTCTTTACTGGGGACTCAGTCGGCGTGCCTCAGTTATTTTATGCCTGTTTTTTCTTTTTCTTGTCCTTTGTATTGCGGCACAATAGCTGTGTTTTCCAATTTCAGGCAACGTGCACAATGACGATGAGGATGATAATCGAAATGCAGACACAGTGAGTGTTCCACAACCATGCCCACGTAAGTGACTATTCTTTACTTTTCAGCAACGGTTAATAAACATCCACGCAGATACCAACTGTGTGAATCCAATGGGATGGTATCATGTGAACTCACGCAACGTAGGTGTGTCCCTAAGGCACATAGCCAACGCATGTGCAATGCCTCAAAGCGCAACAGAACATATGTGTGTGTGCAGGTGCAGAGCGGAACACAAGAGAGAAGTGGGTGACCAGAATGCAGGCATGTTTAGCAGCCCATACGTACCAGCGGCTACAGAACGAGCAGGGGTTTTGCAGGGCATTGGTGTGTTATAAAAGTGGAATAACGACAGTTCAGACGCGATGTACTGTGTAAGAAAACATAATTGTTAAATTAGTGACTGATGCGGCATATGCTCATGAAACAGTTGATGTCCTACATATCGAGAGGAGGCAACGGTGGATACATAAGACTGGGTTGCTGCGCTGCACGCGAATGAGTTATAAGAATGGGAAGAGAAATTAATCCCAAAGCAGAAAAGATAATAAACTTACCGCAAGGTTAGATATTTCCGTCCAATCCGACCTGGTAAGAACCTCTTCCGCGGTTGACAAGATGTTAAGCCAGGTCTGAACTGTATACTCACGAACAAATTTCGGTCCATGATATCTGTGAAATATGCGTCTTTCCCAAGCGACATTCTTGTCTAATTTACTAACAGTGCCATTCCGCTTTTTTCCGCAAACTGCTGCTGAAATCAAGGCATCAGTGAGCCATTTAGAAGGGATTTCTGGAAGGCTACGAAGTTCTATCAGAGATTTTTCTGTTTCCCTCAAGGCGTTTAATAATTCGATGCTAGATTGACAGACTGAAGAGTTTGACGAATCCTTCTCGTGAAGTGAGTCGCGATTTCTGGAGTTTGCAAGCTGATGTAACAAGGATTCGCGTTTGGAGTCGAGTTTCTCAAGGCGCTTTCTTAGAGCGCATTTGGCAACTGATGTTACCAAAGCGGTCCACTCAGTCTTCAAATCTAGAGGTAGTGGACAAGAATCGATGGGGAAAAGGTCAACGTATAAAAACCACATGATGGAGTCATTAAGCATTAAATGGGATATAAACTCCTGAATAAGATGATTTTAACAGAGAATAAAATGTAAGCAGGTTTCGCACTGGCTCCTAATTTGGAAATGGCATTTGAGGAAGAGCGAAAACAAAGGTGAAGTAGAGCCAACTGTGTGAAAACGTATGGTTAATTTGTATAGACAAGGGTGTTATTATACTTGCGAGGTCTTTTGATTCTACAAGCAAATTGCCAGGGAAGAGTTGCACAGATAAGAATGGAATGCTCCATAGGCATGCAATAATCAAGAGGATAGATTGGAAGCGTAAAAGGGTAAACTAATGCAATTGTTCTGACGGGATTTTCGCTGTTCGAGATATAAGGTGAACCCGAACATACTCAAGGAAATCTTTATGAACAACACAAGTGAGACGTAAACCAGCTAAATTTGAGCGAGTTCGGTTAACCAGGTAACACAAGAGATGGATGGACAGCGCAACATAAATGTTCCAACGGATCAGAACTTACACTTTTTCATCACTATCGACCTTACTGTCCCCAAATTCCACTCTCCCCTCTGTTTTCTTATAGCCGAATCCGGATTATCAGGCGGGCACTAGGGAGGAAAATAAATCTGAGAACGCAGGTACCTCTCCAGAACGCAGTCTAAAGAATGGCCGACGTAATGAATACTGGGGAAGATTGCACAACGAACAGCCAGATTCCAACTCATTCTGAAGTATAACGATGGCTGAGAAAACGGTTCACACTTTTTGATCATTCAGATGCTTGATTTCTTCTCTGATTGCATCAAGTACCTCCGGGATCAAGTGTTGAACAGCCTTGTTAACAACTATACACTTGTTAAGCCCAGCTAGATCTTCGTCCATGGAAGGTATTCCTGAGAAAAGAGGGCGACATTTAAAAGTGGGGAAATTCGATAGATATATGCGTTGAGTATGCCAAGGGTTAATTAGAAAGAACATGGAAACATTAAACGATATTGAAAAAATGGTGATTTGAGTCCAGAAATAAGCTGCAGGTATATTGAAGTGCGAAAAATCCCCATGCGGAATCGGGAATTATAATGCATCGGCCCTTGAATAGAGCATCAATGCTGAGGTGAAGTTTAATTCGCACAAGCGAAGTGTAGAGCAAATTCTGAGAAATGCTGATTCACTCTCAGTTGTGTAAATTCGAACAGGCATGGCCTTGTGTTAACTAATGAAGATTGTCTAAAGTATCACAATGGTAAGTGGAACTACTTGAATCTACAACTACCGCTGGTCAAAACACCTGCGAACTTACGCGGCTAACCGGGGCAAAATGACTAGCCCCGAAAGTTCTAGTTTCGGTAATGAGTTAATCATCATCATCATCATTATACATGTCAGCTAGAGGTGGTAAAACACCACCGCTATTGTACCGCAATACATAAAGGGAATACATACATACATACAATACATAAAGGAAAAATAAATACGACAGTTGCATACCAGCTGAGCTACCAGCAACGGATAGGCATCGTTCCGGTAAGCTACCAGCCGGCTACTAGGCAAAAAACAACAATTTAATTACGTTTGACCCTACGAAATAAGATCGTAGATGGAGGGGGAGGCTAAAGGGATGGGGAGGGACAAAGAAACTCACAGCAGGAACGCCACTGAGGTCGGCTCCTTGCCATGTCAGCAAGTGTATCCAGCCAAACGTGTTCACCGTCTTTTGGACCCCAACCAGGGAGCCGTGAAGCTCCAATCGAGGCTAGTTCCAAAGTGAGGGATTTCATTCATCTGGACCAAGTCATCGCTTGGCCACCTCTCCTCTTCTTCCACCCACATCCCCGGTGAGCAAACAACGCACGTCGAGGGAGTCGGTGGGCTGGCATGCGCAACACGTGGCCCAGCCATTGGAGCCTGGTACGTGAAATGACGGTGCTGAGCGGTTCATTCCCTTTTCCTAGGCCGTAAACAAGGCGTCGAACACGCTCGTTACTCACGCGGTGTTCCCACCAAATGTGAGCCAAACTGCGAAGGCACCGATGGTCGAACGTAACTAGCCTCTTCATGTCCGCCGATCTTAGGGGCTAGGTTTCGCAACCGTACAGTAAGGTCGAACGTACCGTTGCATTGTACACTCTACCCTTAAGGGCGAGAGTAATGTCGCGCCGTCGCCATAGGTGGCGAAGATTAGCAAAAGCACTTCGAGCTTTCGCTATGCGGTTCATGATCTCGTCTTCGATCCCAAGGGCGCTGATACAACTTCCCAGGTAATTGAATTTCTGAACGACTTCTAGCTGATCCCCACCAAGGGTCAGCACAGGGGGCGAACCCAGCCAATCCTGGAGGAACGCTTTGCACTTCGCTGGTGCAAAGCAAAGCCCGAAGCGACTGACAGCCAGTGCTAATCTGTCCAGCGCGGCTTGACACGTCAGGGAGCTGTCACAGATGAGGGCAATGTCGTCCACATACTCTAAGTCAAGAAGTCGTTCTCCTGGGAGTAGCTCCACACCTTCCAAGTCATGTCCTGTAAATACAATCTCCATGACTTCGTCAATAGCGAAGTTGAAGAGGAAAGGTGACAGCGGGCATCCTTGTCTCACACCGCTGGAGATATTGAAGGGTGGCGACAGCTTGCCGTAAGCCCTTACTCTGCCCGTGCTACGCAAATATAATGCTTGGATAATATTTACATATTTCTCGGGCACACCTTTCCTGAGTAGACAATTCGAAAGGACACATCGATCAACCGAATCGAAGGCACCTTTGATGTCGAGGAACACGACTACGGTGCTCCAACAACTGACGCAAGGTGAAGATGTGATCGATGCAGCCACGACCCCGACGAAACCCGGCTTGCTCCTCACGAATCTGGCTTTCACGAGCGCCAGTCAGTCTGTGGAGAATTATGGAGGCGAGTAATTTGGAGGCGATGGAGATCAGACTGATTCCTCTATGGTTGCCGCATTCCGAGCGCGAGCCGCCTTTGAAGATGGGAACAATAACGGAGCAGCTCCAGTCGGTTGGGACAATCTCCTGCTCCCACAGTTTCACTAGTAATTCATGCAAAGCATCAACAAGAGCAAAGCCTCCAAATTTGAAGAAGGCTGGAGGAAGATCATCTGGTCCCGCGGCTTTGTTCAACTTCAACAGTTCGATCTCACGTTGGACTTCTGAGCGAGAGGGTGGATCCAAAGGGACAGCCCACGGAGCGGGGCGATCAGTGACCGGCGAATCGAACAATTCTTGCCGATTAAATTGCTTTTCAAAATGCTCAGCCCAACGCTCCAGACGTTTTGACAAATTGTGGATAGGCTGTCCACTCTCGTCACGTATAGTTTCACTAACACCAGGTCTCCTGCTGCCCGTTTCCCGTACCAGACGGAATAACTTACGATGGTTGCCAAGGGCAGCGGCCACCTCCATCTCTGACGCACGATGAGACCACCAAGATTCGCGGTCTCTCTTCAGGCTAGCACGGAGTTTTGCCCGGAGCTCTTTGCGAGTTTCATTGTGCTCGCTTCCAGCCTGAATTTGCCGGCGAGCATCGATAAGTTCCAGAGACTGAGAAGAGACCCAATGTCCATGTTGGCGATTAGACGTACCACATGAGGATTTGCCTGCTGTTAATAAGGTCTGTCGAACATGTGACCATTGACCATCAATTGTCTCCTGTGAGCGCTTGCTCAACTCGCATGTCAGCGTCCTTCGATACGCATTCAGAACAGCTGGCTTTGTCAGTTGGCTGGTGTCTATACGCTCACAGCGTCGTCGTGGGCGTCCGCCAAAACACCTCCGCACGTCAGCACATACAAGTGCATGATCGGTGTCCACACATGTGTTCCAAATCGAGCGACAGTTCTGGACGCTGCCTCTCCAGCGGTAACTTATCGCAATGTGATCGATCTGCGTCCATAGCTGGTTCGAGGCTGGTGGGCGCCAAGTCACACTCCGGCGAGCACTGTGTTGGAAATTAGTGCTCGCAAGAAATAAGCAAACATCTTCACACAAATAAGGTAACCGCTCACCGTTATCATTACGGGAGCCTACACCGTGTTGACCGCCCATGTGCATTTCATCATTGGACCACTTTCCAACTTGTGCGTTCATATCCCCCGCCAGCACAACAGTATCCGTGCTTCTTCTGTGGCGAAGGAGCTGGGTCAGTTGGCGGTAGAAGTCGTTCTTTACCGAATCATCGCTACAGTTTGTGGGCGCATAGGCAGCGATGATGAATATACATCTATTAGTCCCGCGCGACTTCGAAGCTTTAAACGAGCCAGCCAATCGGACCGCACACATCCGGCTACTGATTGGAATCCAATCAACCAGAGCAGCTTCAGCCCGGGGACTCAGGGCAATGCCAACACCAGCTTGGCCGGTGCTCGAAGCTGCATCATCACCGGATAGGCGCAAGGAGAAAATACTGCTTGCGTCACCTGAAGGGGATCGCAGAGTGAGCACAGTGCTCGAGTCTTGCAGGCGAGTCTCTGAGAAGCAGCAGATATCGATCGAGAGGGTCTCCAATGTTCGGGCAAGTGCTGCCTGTTGACCGATTTGTAGCAGTGGGCGTACATTGAGGCATGCCAATCTGAAGGAGGATCGAGGGCTCCAAATGGAAGCCGATGAACTGGATTGGACCGCTTGGTTGGACCTGGGCTTGTCGACAGGAGAGGAGTGACGCTCCGCGTTCACGTGTGAGTTGAAATTAGAAGGTAAATGCTTAGCAAAGCATGTTGGGGGAGGGCCAAGAATCGGGGGTTGAAAACTGGGGGGATGTAAGTGAAGTTGGATTGGAACGGTAAGAGTGAAAAAGCGTAAGAGGAGGAATAAGAAGACGGGAAGGCTTGAGCAGTAGCATCCAAACCCCTATCCACCCTGCTCGATGCAGCAGATAGGGCACCGTTGATTATCCTCTGCGGTGGCCAGAGCATCAAGAAATTGTTTGAAGGAAAATTCATAGTATTGCGTGGGCAGGATACTGTTAATGACGATTAAACTGAGACCGTTCCAGTTAAGAAATCTGGAACAATTCTGTAGAGGAAAAGTCTTCTGACTTGAGGATAGCAGAAGAGAAAATTTATCATCATCGTCAACAGAAGTACATCAGCCACTTGAACTGACGCTTCGCTGCCATACAACCATGAGGACCGATGAAATACATAATAAGAAGAGGAAGAGAAGGGGGACTTACTTGAAAACCTTAATGCCCTAAGCAAACATTCAGGGTTAAGGCGCCTACATCTTGTGTAGACATACCGTCACAATTAGCTGGCTATCGTGCAAAGATAAGGCGGCATCGGCGAGATAGCGTCCTTGCGGTTTTCACTGCCCCGCGTCACAATCAGCCATTACCCCGCAGATAACTCAGTAACAAACACATTAAACAGGCAATCCGTTTAGGAGACGGCAGCAGACGCGCCACTGGTGTCGGTTAAATAAATAAATAAATAAATGGTGTCGGTTGCGAGCCAAGTCCTGTAAAATTTCGAGCCAAGTCACATGCACTCCAGCCCGGAAGGCGAGACGGACTAACGGCACC